TGTCCATTTTTAAGTCTTGAGAATAAACATGGTTCTGCTGTTCCTTGTTGAAAGTTCTGTTTTTGTAACAGCTTAGTCAGTTTGTCATTCCATGCTTTCGCTGCTTGTTTTAATCCATAAATGCTTTTGTTGCATTTACACACTAGGCCTTCTTGTCCTTCTGCTGAGAATCCTTCTGGTTGTTCCATGTAGATCTCTTCATTCAGGTCTCCATTGAGAAAAGCAGTTTTGATGTCCAAATGTTCAATATGCATGCCCCTTGAGGCTGCTATGCTTAGAAGTGTCCTGAAGGATGTGTAGCTTACAACAGGTGCAAAAGTCTCTGAGAAATCAATTCCAAATTTTTGTGAGAAGCCTTTTGCAACGAGGCGTGCCTTGTACTTGTCCACCTTGCCGTCAGGGTCATACTTCACTTTGTACACCCACTTACAGCCGATGGCTTTTCTTTCAGAAGGCAACTCAGTAAGAGTCCAAACTTGTTTGTCTTGTAAAGATGCAAATTCTTCTTCCATTGCATCTATCCACTTGCTTCTTTCAGATACAGATAGTTGATTTACTTCCTTCCAGTTATTAGGTTCCTTTATTGGTTGCACACTTGCACAAATTCCATACATCGGAGGTGGTACACCCTTGGTACTCCTTGCTGATTGTCTCACAGTGGTTGTCTCTCTTACCCTTGGCGTTGCCTTTCCTGGTTCCCCTTCTGAGCTGGAACTCTCTTGTGGAGATGGACCTGCCTGTTCACAGGTGGTCTCTGCTGATTGCCAAGCGAACACGTTGAAGAAGGAGACATCTGTGGATTCCTGAGTAGCAGGTTGCACTGTGGACTCAGCTGGCTTAGGAGTTCGTAGGATGTTGCTGTCATCGACATGTACCACATTGCATTCCCTAATTGTGCAGTTTTTAGGATCTAGGATTCTGTAGCCCTTTCCTCCAAGAGCGTATCCCACTAGGATACCAGGCTCTGCTCTTGGGTCAAGTTTGCCCCTTCTCTCTTTTGGTACGTGGGCATAGACTTTAGAGCCAAAGGCTTTTATGTGTTTAAGTCCAGGCACCCTATTATGCCATAATTCAAAAGGATTTTTATTTGTAGTTTTAGATGGAACTCTATTATGCAGGTAAACAGCTGTATTGACTGCTTCAGCCCACATTTTTTCTGAAAGTCCAGATTGTATTAGCATAGAACGCGCCATTTCTTGGATGGTTCTGTTTAAGCGTTCAGCAGTTCCATTTTGTTGTGGAGAATAAGGAATTGTTGTTTTATGTTCAATTCCTTCTTGTTCCATGAATCTTTGGAACTCACTGCTGCAGTACTCTGTGCCATTATCTGTGAATAGCACTTCTGGCGCTTTGCCAAATTTGTTTTTAACAGCAGCAACATAGCACTTAAACTTTTCAAGTACTTGATCTTTACTTTTAAGTAGGTATGTAAAGACATATCTGGATTTTGCTTCCATAAAACTCACAAAGTATCTGCTGCCTCCAGCAGACTCTCTTATTGGACCAACAAGATCTGAGTACACAGTCTCTAGAAACTTTGTATTTTGTTCTGGAGATTTGCCCTTGTAGCTAGGAGCTGGACCTTTTGCTTTAAAGCAGGTTTCACAACCATTTTTCATAGCATCACACTCAACTGCATTGATATTACAGTCCTTCAAGAGCTTCTGTACACTTTGCACATTTCTATGAGCAAACATTACATGCCATTTATATAAACAGTCTTTGTGTTCACATTCAGATGATTTTGTGTGGAACACTGGCCCATTAGTGCCCATTTCATCATCATTAGTAATGGCAATGTTTCTTACATAATGATAATTTCCTTGTTCTTCAATCACTAGTTCAACACCATCTTTGTGCCATATTTTGCCTTGGCCCTGATCAAGATTAATTTTAAAACCAGTAGCAATGATTCTCCTTGTAGAGATCAGGCAGACAGTGGCTTCAGGAACAAAAACACAGTCTTTAAGTGTCATCTGCTCAATCATACCACATGTATTCAAAATGTTCAGTTTTACAGTCCCAGTTCCTCCAACATTTAATTCTTGACCATCAACCTTTTGCAATTTGGGCTTTTTATCTTTATTCAAGTCAACAAACCATTCAGCATTGTTTGCTATGTGATAATGACTCCCTGAGTCCAACAACCATAAAGATTTAGCATCAGATTCCTTCCATGATCAGACACTGCAAGCACATTTGCACATTGTTCTCCCTCTGCAGTATTTGGCTGCGTCTCTTTTAGGAAGAATACGGGCTTTATCCCGCTCTGCTTGTGAGAAACATTTGGCTTTCCATTACCACGCCCCTTAGAGGGTCTTGTTTCAGCGGCAGACCACATGGTTCTTTCCCTTTCATCCGGTCTGGGTTTAAACCAACATTGCTCCGCTAAATGGCCAGTTCTCGAGCACACAAAGCATTTAACAACTCTCTTTTCATTTCCTCTTTGATGAGCAGCTTTAACACTGAGCACTGAAACGCTCTCAGTAAGATTGGACATTTCCCTTCTGTTTCCCTCTGCTTCCAGATACGATACTGCATAATCAATAGTTAGCTTTTCTAATCCTCTCAGATATGCAATCTCCGAAGCGTAAGTATTCGTTAATGAGCTCAAAATTGCACTAAGCACAGAATTTTCAGTAGGTGGATCACCGATAGCTTTTAATTTATTAAAGGTATCAAGAATTTTGTTCAGATATGTACTGATTGATTCTCCTTCACGCATCTTGATAGTGAATAAGCGCTGATGCAGAAAGAGGCTGCTTGCCTTCGATTTCGCATTGTATTTCGTATCTAAATGGGAAATCATGTCCTTTGCAGTTTCGCATATTAAAAGCTTCTGATTATCACTAGCAAGGACGTTTCCAAGGATGAAAGCCTTTGCAAGCCCATCTTTCTCTGTAAATTCTTTCTGTTTGGCACTGTCGTCAGGAATCTCCTCAGATAAAACATGTAAGGCTGAGCGAGACTGCAAGATGCATTGTAAATTTCCTTTCCACCATCTATAATTATCTCTAGATAGGATTGGGATTCTATGAAAAGACATATCGTTGGAAGAAGCCATTCTACTTTACCAACTTCTCTCGATAGAGGCAAACCGGCAGTCACTCGTCTGGTCAGCTTTGGGTTGATTGGAGCTTCCTTTGATCTTCCTCTCTCTCCCGGCTGTGAATCAGCCTCCAGGGATTTCTTTTGTGGTAGATCCAGCAGGAAACGAATCTCTTTCCCCTCCTTTCTGTCCTGCTAGCTCAAGGCAATACCAGGCTCAAGGGGGAAAAAAAGGAAAAAATCTTCTCTGCTCCCAGAAAAACATTTTTTAAAAAATCGGTTATATTCTTACAGTAAACTTAACACACATGGCTCAGCTCTGCACGCTGGGAACGTAGCCTGGGCTCCCATAACCTGTTGGGTATTCTTAATTTTAAAGTGAATCACCAGAGTAATCAGCAGAGTATTAAAGAGGCAGAGTCCATGGTGTGTTTAAAAGATAAAAGTTTACTACAACCTAGCATGGGGAAAAGGTACACGGGATGTAAAATAACAAAGAGCTAATATTCCTACATCCTTACAGCTAGACTGAACATGGCAGAAAAGGTGGCTTCCTTCTTCTTGCTCAGAACAAAGAAACACAAGACGGGAAGAGAAGCCATAAAATGCTAATACTTGGCACTTTGGTTTCCAATCAGAACAACAAGCTAGATATGAACTTCCCGGGCTTTCTAACTGTCTAAAAACAGATTGGTTACAAACAAACATGTGATTTAACAAACATCATTAACCCAGTAAATACTGAAGAAGTGTTTTAACTTGTAACACCCAACAACCGGTCATACCCATCTGCATCTGCAGGCCGGAATCTCTCAACTGTAAGCTGTAACTACTGATTTTAAATGTTTATACCGTGTTTTAAAACAGGCCGGAATCTCTCAACTGTAAGCTGTATCTACTGGTTTTAAATGTTTATACCGTGTTTTAAAGTTTTTACTGTATTTATTGAAATACGATGTTACCCACCCTGAGCCTGCTCACGGGATGGGCGGGATATAAATGCAATAACTAAATAAATAAATAGATGGATAAATTTCAACTACTGAATCACATTCCGGGCCAGGTAGTGTTCACCGATAACGTTCACAGAAGAAATTCCACAGGATGCAGAGATGCTCTTCCCCCAGGGGACAGAAGCAGGAATCCCTTCCCCATGGAAACCGGTGTCTCCTACCTCCAGAGTAACTCTTTCCAGGAAGCTGTTGGGCTTTAGGTCGAAGGGCACCTCAGCAGAGCATTTCACAGTCTCGTCATTCTCATTCTGGAAATAGACCATGCCCGAGAGCCCAGAGGGGGCTCCCTCAACCTGCAGCACGACCCCCACCTCTGCCCCCACGGGTACCACGCTGGGGGCAATCATCAGCAACCTGCACAGTGGGCAGAGAAAGAATTATTTTAGATGACCGGCAACAACCTCCATCCCATCTTCGAATTAGTAGGTGCTTTGCACGAGGGAATTAGATAAATTCAAGAGGGAATTGGATAAACATATGGAGTAGTGGTCCGTAAGTGGCTATTAGTCACAAGGTAAATATAGGATGTTTGTATGTTTGTGCGTCATGTTCTGTCTTACTCTCACAGGTTATGACATACCTCTAGATCCGAAACTCATGCTCTTACACCTGTGGCCGAAAGGGGTTTGTTCTAACAATCAAAGACAATTAATAAATATCTTATTAGCAGCTGCTAAGAGCACTATAGCGACAAAATGGAAGGATAAAGATCCTCCATCTGTGAATGTGTGGCTTATAAAGTTTGGAGATACTTTTTGTATGACACCATTTCTATTTATAACACCACAGACCAAAATGAATGTGAAATACTTAGTCCTGTTGGGAAATGGTATCCCATCATCGAAAAACTCACTTTTGATGATTTTGACTGGAAAACTATTTACAATGCGAAATTGGATAAACATATGGAGTAGTGGTCCGTAAGTGGCTATTAGTCACAAGGTAAATATAGGATGTTTGTATGTTTGTGCGTCATGTTCTGTCTGAAAATAATACAAATCATTTTATATATAACAGTGGCACACTTCATTTCCAGGATTAAAATCGGATGCACATCTACACAGTGAAGAAAGCTAACAGGAGACATGATAGAGGCTGGTAAAATTATGCAAGAGGTGGAGAAAGTGGAGAGAGTTTTTTTCTCCCTCTCCCACAATACGAGCTCAGAGGCACTCGATTAAGTTGTTGAGAAACAGGTTCAGGACAGACAAAAGGAAATATTCCTTCACGCAATGAGCAATTAAACTGCAGCGTTCACTGCCAGTAGATATAATGATAGTCCAAGAATAAAAAATAATTCAACTTGCTTGAAAGCCAGTTGAATCTGACTCTAGGGGGTGGTACTCATCTCCGTTTCAAAGCCAAAGAGCCAGCGCTGTCCAAAGACTTCTCCGTGGTCATGTGGATGGCATGACTAAACACTCAGGTGCACGGAACGCTGTTACCTTCCCACCAAAGCAGTACCTATTTCTCTACTTGCACTTTCTTGCTTTCAAACTGCTAGGTTGGCAGGAGCTGGGGCTCCTTCCCTCTTTTGCAGGGTTGTTAAGAGGATAAAAATGGATGAGGGAAAAAACCACACAGGCTGGCCTGAGCACCTCAGGCATAAGAAGAGAAAGAGAGAAGAAGAGATTGGATTTATACCGCACCCTTCACTACCCAAAGGTGTCTCCCTCTCCCCACAACAGACACCCTGTGGGGTAGGTGGAGCTGAGAGAGCTCTCCAGACAACTGCTCTTTCCAGAATAGCTCTGAAAGAACTTGTGACTGACCCAAGGTCACATCAGCAGCTGCATGTGGAGGAGTGGGGAATCAAACCCGGTTCTCCCAGATTAGAGTCCATGCTCCTAACCACTACACCAAACTGGGTACCAATGAAACAATTGTAATGGGGACCCTGACGGTGGGGTACCATAAAAATGTTTAAAATAAAATTAATTACATAAATAATGTTATGATGAGATTTATGCCACTATGAACAAAGGGGAGGGGGGAATGTTTTTTCATACTTAGTACTTCACTCAACAGTTCAGCAACTAAACAGATATGTTCTAAACTTAAACCAGTAAATTCCATTTTTCACTGTTACAAATTGTTCCCCTCCCTTCATTTTATTTGGGGTTTTTTTAATTCAAAAAGATTTTGGTGGATGATACGAAATTTCCACCATTTTGCAACACAGAGGTTGGCTGCAGTATTGTAAAAATGGCCCAATTCTATTACCTCATTTCCTAACGATACGCCCTTAACATAATCTCATAACAAACATTTTGGAATTCTCAGTCTTACATAACCAATACCTTTTTAAAAGAAATGTTGTTTTGGAGGAAGGAGAGTCTTAATTTTGGCTAATCCCACTGTATACCCACAAAGACCTCACATGATCCTCTCCAGATTCTCCAGTGCAAATCTTGGGCCAGACTAAACACTTCATGGCAACATGAATAAGCAAATGCAAAACCATATAGTAAAATAATTGTAAGCGTGATCACACACGATAAACTAGCCACAAAATTAGGGTTACCAACTGTGGACACAGAAATTCCTGGAGATTCAGGGAAAGGAGCCTCTGGAGGGTATAGGGTTGCCAACCTCCAGGTGGTGACTGGAGATCTTCTGTGACAACTGATCTCCAGGCGACAGAGATCAGTTTCCCTGGAGAAAATGGCCACTTTGGAAGGTGGACTCTGTGGCATTATACCCCACTGAAGTCCGTCCCCTCCCCAAACCTCACCCTCCTCAGACTCCACCCCCAAAATCTCCAGGTATTTCCCAACCTGGAGCTGACAGCCCTAGGAGAGTAGTGGGAGGGCCCTCCACAGGATATAATGCCACGGAGTCCCCCCTCCAAAGCAGCCACTTTCTCCAGGAGAACTTATCTTTGCCGCCTAGAGATTGGTTGTCAGGGCAATTTTTGTAGAAAAAGCCCAGCACGAACTCATTAGCATAATAGGCCACACCCAACAGCAGGAACTCATTAGCATATTAGGCCACACCCCTGACAGCACAGCTCATTGGCACATTAGGCCGCACCCCAACGTTACCAGAAGTGTGGTTATCCAGCCACGCCCACCTTTTGCTTGTTATTCTATTTACCTTGTTTGTTGTCAAAACCCAGGACTTTTTTTGTAGCAGGAGCTTCTTTACATGTTAGGCCACACACCCCTAATGTAGCCAATCCTAATGAGTTTCTGCTGTTGGGTGTGGCCTATTATGCTAATGAGTTCCTGCTGGGCGTGGCCAACTTGGGACCCAGCCGGAACTCCGTTCCTGTGCGTTCCTGCCCCAAAATAGCCCTGTCGGTTGTAATTCCAGGAGTTCTCCAGCCACCATTTGGAGGTTAGCAACCATAGTTACAAATGACATATTACCTAAAATAAATCTGAATT